TTTGAATTACGTTTTCCACGCGTGCAAAATTATTTTTTATGGTTTTTTTTTTTTTTTATGAGGAAATACAAACGATAACACCTAAATTTTTTTTACAATTTTTAAGATCACGATAATTCATTCGTATTTTTTTATAAATTAAACGAAGAAATATACTTTAAATAATACGCTTTACAACGAGTAAAATAACGCCTCATGGTTTTGTATATTTGTTCGTTTATACGAAAGGGAAAGAGCCGAGGAATAATCGGAAGAAAGAAAATTCCTATGCGTCTATCGCTACTATTTATACCGTCCACGCTTTTAAAAGTAATATCGAAGACACGCACCCTCATGCCTTTATTTTCAATCTCTAATCATCTTTATTTTTACCAAGTTTCAACGGATCATCATACTTCCCCCCCTCCCCCCGATAAACGCGCGAGATCGATCCTCACCGTCTCTAAATATATTTTTAGCCGATGTCGATATCGGCGGCCAAGGGCGGAATCGTTTATCATTGACATTAGCTGTCAGCCACGGGGTTTATATACGCGCATAATCGAATATCCCTATATCCCTATATCCGTGCCACGGGTAATTACGATATTGCATCGATCTTCTTACCGAAAGAAAATCATCGGCTCTCCAACGTATCGTATCCTTCTATATTTAACGTTCGATCTCCATTTTAAAATCTCCTCCCTTCCCCCTTCGATCGTCCTCCTCGTTTTGAAATTTAAATTTCCCCGCCGTTCCAGACAGTATACCGCGAGGATTCGAATCTTCGCCGAGGAGGATCATCATCGTAATCCAATTTTTCCACGAAAAATGGGAAAACACGTTGGAAAATTAGTCAAATAACAATTGAATAATTGCAAGATAGTGTTAAATGTTGATGAATGATTTTTTTGAAAAAGTTTCGCGGGGAGGAAAATGGGCGAACTGATTGCGTTCGACGGCCTCCGGTTCGCCAATATTTATTTTACGAGAAAAAGGAAACAGGTTCGAGTAGGGCACGAGTAGCGGGGGGGGGGGGCAATACCGTCGACGAAACTATTTCAATAACAGGTCGGCTCTCACCCCCTGCCGGAAATGGCAAGATTGGTCTCGCCTGTTTCTCCTTATTTTCTATCATTTTTGTTTCCTTCTGCTCTTTGTATTACGAAACGTTCTGGATACGTTCCCTTTCTCTGCAAAGGAAGGAAGGGAAGAAAAGGGTTTGTTCCCTTTCGACGAAAATATTCGAAACTCTTCGGAAGAGACTTTTATTAATTCTTGATCCTTTTTCCACGAAGAAAGAATATTATTCCATATAATATTTTATGCAACGTATAATTCTAGAATTTGTGGGATGCTCGTTGATGTTTCCAGGCTCGAAAAACCGCGACCGGTTTCACCGTGATGAAAAACAGAGCGTGTAACCACGAGCGTGTCGTCCCCCGTCGTCTCTAAGAACCATGAAATTTATTATCGGCCTCCTCGTTCAACCGATTATTGATGCCGATGACTTAAAGCTAGCGCCATCCTCTCGGATTTATCCAATGTTATCGCTCATCGAACGCGGGCATTACCGTGAAATCGTGCGTAAACGATCCTCGCTTTCCATCCACCGATTACGGATAATGCGCTGGTAT